CGTCGGCGTAGTTCCCCTCCAGCCGGCTGTCGGTGGGTCTTTCCTCACGTGAAACCCGTCGGCTTGGTGCGGTGCTGTGGCCGGAGGCGAGGTTTTGCCTCATCCTTGCGCCTTGTAGCCGCTGTATAAATCACGGTCCAAAGTGAAGGTAGGGCATGCTTCTGCGAGCGCTTTTGACGGCTTGTGCTTAACTGTAACATTTGTCTTTTCAGACCCTTATCTGCATAAACCCACCCCTTTTTGAGGTTTATCAGACGCTGTTAAGCCCCACGCAGCATCATGTGGCGCTCATCGGTACGAAGGGGCTCATGGTGCTGGAGCTGCCTAAACGCTGGGGGAAGAATTCAGAGTTTGAAGGTGGGAAATCCACGGTGAACTGTAGGTGGGTGAGACCTCAGGCGGTTAATGACATCCTTGTCCTGCCGCCGTTCCTCGACAGCCTCTCCTCCTTTTGGGGCCGAACAGATACGGAAGACGTTGGTTGTATCGGGGTTGTAGGGACAATCACAAATGAAGTTATTTTGGCTCAGGGACTTGCTGGTCGTCAAGTGACCCAAATAAACAACCTTCTAAACTTGTTGCAAGTGCTGAGGAGCAAGGTGCTCCTCTGTAGTAGTCTCTAGCCTTTCTGGGGTCTTTTAGCTGTGGTAGCTAAAAGCACACGTCCAGATGGAAATAACAAAGGGCTTCAAGTTAAAGCTGTCCCTCCAACTTTAAGAATAGTACAGCTAATGGCTTTGAAACCTTTTAATTGGGTTTCTAGCTCCTCTTGCCTCCACTTCCCTTTCGAAGTAACCTCTGTGTTTCTTGTAACAGTGCATACTTCTGCTCTGTATTTCAGCACTATTCCTATTGCGGAAAGGTTCTTCACAAGCTCAACATCTCTGACTTTAAAGCATGCTGCCTGGTACCCCTGCGAGACATTAGAGCCCCATATTGTGCTTTTGACTTCAGATAACACTATAAGGTAAAACCTGTTTGTAGCTGATTATCTAAGTAATTTTGTTGTCATAGCCAGTCTGATTTTTCGCTAGATATATACGTCCTGCCATTCTTACCAGGATTACCAATAAAAAATAGGATGGGAGAAACTTTAGACTGATACCGTTTGATGTTCCTGCGTTAGCAGGGACATGTGCAACACGGTCAGCTGAATGAACACTGCTGCTGTTTCTTTCCTCTAGGTTTTACAGTCTGAAGGTGCCTCAGACACCCATCAAAGTGGTTGCTCTTTCAGACACTGAGGAGGAGACTCTTACAATCAAAAAAGGGTTTGTGTGGCTTCTTGTATTTTGAAATGCTTTTGACAGAATAAGCCCTGTATTCTCAGCTGTGTTTTTAATGAATAAGAAGTGATAAATCTACCTGAAAATCTGATGTGATTTTTTTTTTCCACGGACTTCAGTCCTTGGACTTCTTCCTAGCACAGTAACTGCACTTTTTTTTTTTTTTCTTTTT